CCCCCCTTAGCATGGAAATCGCCCAAGACAGATCTAGATGGTGTAAGGCTGGCCACAGTTTATCTCTAGTCTCTTTTGTCTCTACCAGTCAAGCACTAAAGATGGCAGTCAGTTGTATCAGTCCAGGGTCTTCAGGAGGGCAGGCCAAAATTGCCTCGGTGCGGTCTAAAAATCAGAGGGCACCGAGGCAATTTTCTAGAGCACCAAGGCAAAAATTCTAGGTGATCATTTTGTTGATTAAAGTTGGTAATACTGTATCGTGCATCACAACGTTTATATAAATAACAATACAATTTATTCTTGCTCTCTACAAAAGTATAGTTATCGGAAATTTTTTAAAATCATGAATGAAAACTAAGGAAATCAAAGTAAAATCGCGCCAAAATAAAAGCACAAAAAATTAGTTTGAAATCAAATTTATAATCACGATTGCATCTGACTTTTAAATGCCTTTATGACTAGCTCTTATTGATTGAATTAATATGAATGAATATGACTGTTGATAATAGGGCACGATAGAAAACAGTAAATAATATGACCAATTAGGTAAGCCATTATGAAAATCATTTGAGATTGAAACAGAGTGCTTTACAGGCAATGTAGTAACAAAATAAAAACACATCATGGTAAATGAAAACAGATGTGAACTTGTATGAAAAAGAAAAAAATACGAGTGAAAACAACTTATGAACCTGTTTGAGAAAAAAAAGAATGAATTACTAAAAACTGCTGTCAAGCAGTTAAACACTGTGAGGTTCTGACTATGATGAGTGAAAACAAGTTTTGAAAATACATGTTTTAAAGTGCATGTATGTTATATAAAAAAGACTCAGGACTAGATCAGAATATTGAAAATATGTCGGCATACACAATATAGAAAAAGACTGGCTTACTGTTTGTCCCTTATGGGACAAAACAAGTGATTTTGAAAAGTATCACAAGAGAAGATGATTTCAGAGAGATAGTGCTGTTTTATTAGGACGTCTAGTTGTGAGACACATCTCTTGCCACATCTTTCACATCTGCAGTCTTCTTTTTCATCCAGAGCTTTTTTCAGACACTTCTGAGGTTTGGTTATCATTGGTGTGAGTGTGTTTGCACTAGCCATGACAAAATGGACACAACTGTCAAGCTGAGCAGTGTCAGACTGAAGCTTTGATGAGATTTCAGACGAGCCTGACAGGATTTCTCCACCCCCC